AAAGAATTATAAAAAAAATCACACAATACAATAAAGAGTAAACGCCATATTATAAAAATATCAAGACAAGTATTTTGGAAATGCCTTAAAATAAATGAATGAAGTCCAAGAAATTTGTTCCATATGATTCCAATCGATGAGTCATGTGGTTTATTTTCCATTGTATGAATGAATGGAACCATTTTTCCTGTTCGTCAAATAGACTCTATCACATACTATATAATAGCTCTATTAAACCCAGAGCGTAAGGGTGCGCCTCTGATTGGTCGAGATCGAATACATATAGCAGGTTAGCGACGATACATCTCACTTCATTAGCCGCTGCTGGACAGCTGACTTCAGACTTGATTCTAATTTTAGGCTTGGCTTTATCATCATATTATATGCAACCATGCTTCGACAACAAACAGCTCACATATATATCGGAATATTACTTTGTTTATTACGGTCTCTGTATTCGCAGGAGGTGGATACAGGTAAATTTGTAAGTATATAGGCCTGCATTTGCCAAAAAGATTCTGTTTTATATATTTAATTTATATAATATATAGGCTCATTACGGTTTGGGATAGTACCGTTATAGGCAAGGAGGTATTGATATAGGGATAGTATTGATTGGTTATGAATATAAAATATTATAAAATGGGATAACACGATAAGGTATTGCTTGTATCCTCTAGATCAGTGACGTTCTCTATAGATAACATATCTGCACGGAACATAACGTTATTTGCTAGTAGTAGACACTATGTTACATATTTAAGTACAGCGAATTCTCTTTAATTTATGTCACCATATCACCAACACTAGTCTGACCTTGTATTTTTATTGCCATCAATTACCATACATATTCATGGTCGTTCTTAATATTATGAATATTGCTCCCGATACCGTTTGTTATTGCATATGTATTTTTTTTCAAAAGAACACATTTTATAAAGAACATCGAGGCTGAATTGGCTTAAAAATAAACAAAATTAGAACAAATTAAGGCTGAGGTAAAATGTCGAATAAGGTAATGGTTTTTATTAATATATAACAAACTAGAAAAAACAACAAATGAAGCTAGTCACATACTGTAAATTATTAATGTTTAAAAAAGGGTTAGAACTGTAATATTCCTTTGGTCGTATCTTTACCTTATGTGCAGCAGGTGTGGCTATGAACGCTCTTGATCCAGTCATCTACGTACATGATATACTGCTGTACAATAATGATCTTTAAAAAGTGTATAAAATAGGAACAAAATCAGAGCATAAAATTTGAGTCTGAAATTGGAAAAAAAAAAAATAAGAAAACTGAGTTTAGGCAAAATTTGACTGGTTCCTATAAAAAAAAAATGTGTACTGTATACCAGTGAGGTATGTATGGTATATTATATTATAAAAAGAATTAACAATATTTTTACTCATAACTAGTTAAGACCAGTCTCCTTATCGTGTTATTAGAGTTTGGTTCATAGGCCAAAAATGTACAGCAGTAGTTTTTTTTTTTTGGTTTTTTTTTTTAAATCTCGCACATGTGTTTCTTTGAATCACTATCATTAATCCTAACTATAATTCCTAACCATGGATAGGCCTATAGATTAAGCCTTCGTTATAAAAAGAAAATCGAATAACAAAATTAAAAATTGATAATATATTCGCAACCTAAGGAAACGATAACGATTATAGGCCTACATCATCTTCGTTTATTGTGCCAACAAATAAATGTTCGCACTCTTTTCGAATTTAAAACGACAAATTAATTTGACATTTCCGGTGCATAGCTAAAATTATACTGATGTTAATTTATTATTATTTGCCATATAAATTGTCATGTTAATGAAGGAAGTTCCCTTAATTGTACTTACTTCCTCCAGTTCTCACTCTTCTTCACTTGCCTCAAAACAATACTTGTAAGTCTACAGTACGCCTAACGAATAAACAACACCATTATATTACTATACCTCTAACTAAATACAGCGTGTCAAATATATATAGGCCTGCATAGGCGAAATAGACCCAGGCCTAGGCTGATTTGTAACTTCATTGTCGAATTCGGTTATATAAATAATCTTTATGATCACGAACGCTAGTTATTATAAAGGTATTGAAATACTTCTATTGACGATTGTTAGGAAACGTTTGAAGAATTAGTGTTGGTTAAATTAAAATTATGAACATTGAAAATTTTCCCGATTGATGCATAGAATAATGCTTAAGTTTATACAATACGTTAATTTCGCCTACATAAGTACAAACACTCGTGTTCTTTTATCATTTTTTTAAACCTTGAATAACCCCGGTCAAAAGTTGAACAATGTTCTGAGTCATTTTTCTCATTGCGTGGTGCATCAGCGCATGATCAGCGGAAGTAGTAAATACCCTGGGTGAAAGATGACACTACTGTTACAAAATTGCGCCTATTTTACTTCTCCAGCCATTCCTGCCTGCCTTAAATAGGAAATTCATACTCCATAATGAATGCAAATAGCAAGAGGGTACCGGTATCTTACTATAATATACCTATTCATTTATAGATATACAGTAATCGTGTAACCATAAACACTCGCAAGTAGCGCATTTTATGCCACACAAGTGAAGTGTAAACACAACATGACGGTTATTATTAGAGCGTGATTAGGTTGCTTTGACCTTCCACTACAGAATTTTAAGGAAAAGCCTCAGAGCACTGCATATAAACGTTTACGTAAATAGACTTTCTCATTTAAGGTCCTTATTTGTATAACCACAAAGACATTCTTAAAATCAACGAAAGAACAAAGACTGATTATAGAAAGTAACTTTATAGCTTTTTCAACATTGACCCATGCAATACTGTTCAGTTCAGGCATGGAATTATAATTCATTTCTTTAAAGTGATGTGACACAAGAGAGTATTTTGATGTGGTTAAATGGTACATTCAAAGTCTTCGGTACCCCTGGTAGCTTGTACACAAGAGGTCTCACTTTCCCATTGATCTCTATGCCATGATCAAACAGAGTGATCACCGTCTGTTTCGTTGAAGAAATGTCTTCAGATCATCCAGATCCACTGATCCAGATTCTTGGTCTGATTTGGAACAACACCAACTCTGTTTATTTATTTATTTATTTATTTATTGACAATACACCTTTAGAACGGTGGCACACACAACTCGTGTGGCGTGGTCGGGCAACAATAACAACTAAAATACAAAAGTAAACAACCTAATACAAAAACAAATCATATAAAGAAAAGCACAACAAATTGACCAGGAATGTTTAACTATAGGCTTAAATTTTGAAAATGTAACTAAAGGTACAGAATCATAAAGTTAAAATGAAATCAAAATTTAAAAAGGAATTACAAAAATCAAGTAAAACAGGAAAAAGCACCAAAATCGTAAACATATATATATATATATATATATATATATATATATATATATATGCACTGTATATGTACCTTTGACGATTTATATTATATATACACATACATATACATATATTACACATACATATAGGTCTATATATATACATATACACATGTACACACATGAATACACGCACGCACACATATACACGTACACACACTTATATCATACATATATACATACATATATACATATATATATATATTTATATATATACATACATACATATATATACATACGCACAACAATACATACAGGCCTAAATACATTCGCACATACATACATACTGTATATACTCATAAAGACTAGAAATTGCAAATTGCAAGTGAAGTGCTGCGAAGTACAACTGCATATTAATGTTCTTCGAACAAAATTATTTATGCGAGTCAAGTGAAAATAATGAATAATAAAAATATAACAAATAATATGAGACACGACCCATTGTCTATATTAGAACACTTCTCATTGGGTAACAAAGTCGTAATTTTTGTCAAAAAGTGTCTATAGTGGTGAATTATGGTTTAGGTTTTTTTTAATAAAGTTTCAAAAATTTCTATGTATGTGGAAAATGTAGTTAATTACCAAAGGTTACAATTTTTATTTTGAAGACT